TATTTTTTCTTTTAAATGCATTTTAGCATTAGCATTATTTAATACATTAGATGGAGAGATATTGCGAGGTGCACGAATGCCGCCATCACCACGATGACAGTGCAGAATAACTTTACAAAACCCTTACTTGTTTTTAACGCTGGCCACTCGCTTGGGTTTACTCTTTCCTCAGTATAAGAAGCACCAGCCAAGGCAAAGAGAATGCGAATTGGTTCAGCTCTTCCTCTGATGTCAAAGTATACGAGATGATACGAAGGAGCCATGGTTTGTGCGGGAGTTTGCGCTTCGTGCAGAACTTCAAAATTCCAAACTCGGATGAAATTTCATCACGTGATCGTACGGTTGACCGCAGAGAGTCAGAGCAAAATCATGCAAGGGTTGAGAGTGGAATTTTTATATCTACTTATTTATCTCTGAGTTTGCAAATTATCGTATTTCTTTATCATAATCAAAATGTTTAGCAAAAAGTTGCAATTTCTGCCAATGTTCAAAATTTTGCCCATCATACCCCTCCCCTGGAAGAACTAATTTGACACAGGAACGCCTTGGACATTTTGCACTGAATCAAAACACTTTGTAGCTGTCACATCGCCGGTAAGAAACTTATTTGATCTTTTTATATGGCAACTGTTTTCTTAATCTTAACATCAGATCACTTATAAAGTATTTTTCTTTTTCGCAGACATGTATGTTATGCAAAAATTTCGATTTGTAAGCTCTAGATAACATCACAGTTTTACAAAGGCGCCAACTTCGTGCAGCTCGTCAACAAATATCTGATCAAAGCACTGTTGGCAAACTTAGAGCTGTTTGAAGACAATGAAGAGAAAGCGGATTATTATACTAAAGTTGTGTAGCCAAAGGTACATGTTTTACCACGTTCAATGCCAGATCAATGGGAGATTTAGCTCAATGAAAGCCAATCACTCCTCAGCATTATTTCTCGCGCCATTTCTGTATCGAGGATCGCAAATGCCGGGCGCAAATGACAGTAAAGTTTTTACTTGGAAATCCGAAGCTAATAGCTCTTTTAAAAGGTAATTACAGTATTGATGGACTTAATCTATTACTATCTTACATTGAAATATTTGATCACGATCCAGCACGTGGAGACAGGGGTTCTCTACATTCTGTCGTCCTTAGCTTGTGTTTCTGTTGTGGTAGCATTTGTATGGTGGGTCCATCACCTCCCCTCCCCTCCCCTCTTCTCGTCTCTTCTGTGGCAGCCTGCACACTCCACTAAAAACATAAAAAAAAAAATAAAAAAATAAATAAAAAAATAAATAAAAAAATAAGAGGAAAAAAAATAAATAAAAAATTATAAAGCATGAAAATAATAACCATAGTTTATTGAAGTTCTTTTTCCAGTAGGATCAACTGAATTTATTGATCTGCCCTTACACTATGCTACATGTACCACTACAGACTATATCACTACTA